CAAACCTGTGACCGTCTGTACTCTAACCACTGAGCAAAACAGGCCAGGGCATTATTTTGAGATACTTTTCAACTAGGCATGCAGAACCCAGCTCAGCATTTGCATCACTCCCTCCAAGTCCTTGGCGCTGGGTGAGAAAAAAGGGCCAGGAGCTTGGTTGTGAAAACACACTAGTGGCAACCTCAGACATCAGGAACTGGGTTGATGTAGAGACACACGTGCTGGCAGGTTCCAAATTCTTGTTGTTTACTTTAAAGGGTCAACTGCTAAATATAAACAAATGCCCACCTTTACTAACAAATACTAATAAGCAGCAACACGCAATACATACCTATGCATATAAACGCTCAGCACTTACTTTCATGCCCTAACCCATTTAGTCTGGAAGTAAGTTTGCTCCTGACACAAATTCCAGCCACTGTTTGCTCAACAGAATGTTGCCCAAAATGCCCCTTCTCCTTCCCAGCCTACCCAGGATGTTTCTTGTCCTCTGCTGTGAAGCACTACCTGCAGAGCTACTCTCACCAACCTGGAGGACTCCGTTACCTTAACTGCCGAGAACAAAGCCCCCTCCACGTGTGGAGAAAGAGGAATCCGCATGCACATCGGTGAAACTGAAAACTGGTGCAGTCACTATAGAAAACAGGATGGAGGTTCTCAAAAGAATTAAAAACAAAGCTGCTATACAACCCAGCAATACCACTTCTGGGTATTTAGCCAAAGAAAACAAAAACACTAATTTGAAAAGATACATGCACCCCTGTGTTCATTGCAGCATTATTTACAACAGCCAAGATATGAAAAGAACCTAAGTGTCCATCGATAGATGAATGGATAATGAAAATGTGATATACATAAAATGGAATATGACTCAGCCATAATAAAAGAATACAATCTCACCATTTGCGACATTGTGGATGGATCTACAGAGTATTATGCTGAGTGAAATTAGTCTGACAGAGAAAGACAAATACCATATGATTTCACTCACATGTAAAATCTAAAAACACAAAACAAATAAACAAACAAAATAATACAGAAACACACCCATAGATACAGAGAAAAAGTTGATGACTGCCAGAGGGGAGGGGATAGAGGAATAAATGAAAAAAAGGAAAAACTTATACAAGACCTATAAACTGAAAACTATAAAACATAATTGGCAAAAATTAAAGAGACAAAATAAATTATGGGGAAAAACTGTGTTCATAGATGCAAGGACACCTACAAAATGATGAAAAATGTAGTGCTCCTAAAATTGATCTTCAAATTCAACAGCAATTCACTCGGGAAAAAAGAAAAGCCCCCTGCCTCAAATCAGCCACCGGCCCTATCGTGTCTGTCCTCTGACCCCTCCTGTTTGATGACACATCCAGCCCAGAGATTCTGTGTAGTGAGCTCCAAAGCCATATGCAAACATCGACTCTTTCTATTTCTGTTGTCCTTACTATCGTATTCTACGCTCATTCTGTCTGACTGCCTGGAGACTCTCACAGATATGGTCAAATGCTTATCAGCAGTAAAACTCCTAACAGGCCAGAAATACAAACTGTCCACTTAGTAAAATATGCTCATAAAAGAATTCACAGGCCCTGGCCAGTTTGGCTCAGCAGTTAGAGCGTCCGCCTGCAGTCCAGAGAGACCCGGGTTCAGTTCACGCTAAGGGCACGTACCTCGCTTGCAGTTTGTCCCTAGCCCCAGTTGGTCGTGCGGGTGGCAGCCATTTGATGTGTCCCTTTCATGTCAATGTTTCTCTCTCTCTCTCTCTCTCCCTTCCACTCTATCTGAACAAAAAGTGGAAAAATGTCCTCGGGTGAGGATAAAAAAAAAAAAAAAAGAATTCACAGGCTGTTGCATGGTTTTGGGGTATGCTTATTTTTTAAAATAATTTTTTATTTTTAATTTTAGTTGACTTACTAGTTTCAGCTATACAACCCAGTGATAAGACATTCATGTAACTTAAAAAGTGATCACACCAATAAATCTTGTATCCATCTGATACCATACACAGCTATTACGATATTATTGACTATATCCCCTATTCTGTACTTTACATCCCTGTGACTATTCTGTAATGACCAATGTGTGCGTTTTAATCCCTTCACCTTTTTCACCCATTGCCCTAACTCCTTCCCATCTGGCAACCATCAAAATGTTCCCTGTATCTATGAGTCTGCTTCTGTTATGCTTGTTCATTTATTCTGATTTTTAGATTCCACATATAAGTGAAATCATATGGCATTTATCTATCTCTGACTTATTTCCCTCAGCACAATACCCTTAGGTCCACCCATGTTGTTGCAAATGGCAAGACTCCATTCCTTTTTATGGCTCAGTCACATTCCATTATACACATGCATCACTTCTTCTTTATCCATTCATCTGTTGATGGACATTTAGGTTACTTCCTAATCTTGGCTATTGTAAATAATGCTGCAATGAACATATGGATGTATGCTTATTTTAATAATATCTCTCGTTAAACTGCTACCCCAAAGAGCAAAAGGCATTAGAGAACCAGACCGCCATCGCTGCATTTTTCATACATCCTTTCTCACCTTTGCATCTCTGTTGCTCTTATTTCCTGCCTGGAAATTAAATTCAGAAAGAAAACGCAGCTTAGCAAACACTGGACACATAATCTCACAGTTTCCAGATTCCTTGCACTATCCTTGAGCACAGATTGCAAGATCACTTCACTCTATTAATACTGAAGAGTGGGACAGTCATGCCATCGCAGACTAGCTCCGCTTCCTCCCCCAGCCAGGCCCAGTGCTGTGGTTAAACATCCGCATGGGAGGCTAACAGGCGGCAGAGCGGAAGAGCTCATCACGGCCTCCCCTTTCCCTCATCTCCTGGGAAGCAAACACCACGTCCTCCTGAGCTCACCTGGGATTCCAACAGAACAGACTGACAAAGCTGTGGAAGAGCCAGCCCTCAAAGATAGCCCGAGACTCTTGCACAAACAGAGTGCTACAGTGGCATTTGCTAGGAATACAGTAGATTCCTGCAACCCCTGGACATCTTACTATTCTACAGAGTGGGGCTTATCGTGATTAAGAAATAAGGATGTGCATTATTCCACACATTTTACCCCTTAAAACAAATCTGATTTCTGGTGCTTGCTTAACAAAAGCACAGACCTGGCGTTGCTTGTGAATATGCTGGCTCCAGGTAGATCTATATTTTGGGACTTTGGTTGTCAGGAAAATTCCAGACTCCCAAGTCTGGGTGCTAGTATGGGTTGTTATCCCTTCTTATCTGAGTAAGACTTAAGAAGCTGTAGACTTAGAAATGTAGGCACTTTGACCATCACATTTTCCTATAGCTTTGACCTTTGTTTTTCAAGTCTCCACAAAATTTAATTGAACCCAAAGAAACAAAGAAAAATCTCTTTATAAAGTTATTAAAGTGTAGAAACTTTAAAAAATAACCATATTCATCTTTCAACTGTTTCAGAAACTATGAAAGAGAAATATGCCAGTAAAGAATCAGACTAAGGAAAAAAAAAAAAAAACAGGAGAAATATGTTTCAAATGTCTACATTACCTACTGTGGAACTATCTCTACGGTATTTTCAGACAATGATGGTCATAAAGACATGTAGAATGCAAGGGCTGTCTGTTGTGTGTATATATGTGTGTGTTTTCAATTTTCTGTAACAAATATGTCATGTTAAAGGGAAAATTTATGTTTAACCACTCCTTGAATGGAAAAGAGATAGACATCATAGTAATTCTTGTCCACTAATAACCTGTGATTATAGTCACAAATCATATAGATAACACTATCCCCAATATAGCATCACAGTTGTAAAAACAAACTATGATGGTCAAATCAACTTTTTAGTCATCTAAATTTTAGTCCCCTGCCAACACAGTAGTAGATTGGGGTACAGTAATCTGCCATAATGTGTTTTTATCTTTATTTGAAAGTGAATCGAAGTAATAATGATATCACAGTAAAATGAAATTCTGACTGATATAGCAAAAAATTAAAAGATCAAGTTTACTCTACATTATAATCCCATGTGCAACAGCATAGTTCACAAATGTACCACCAATGTATAGGAATATAAATCAGCATTTAACCTCCCCTTCTGCCTTCAGCAAGGCCTCTTCTCACCTCCTCTCCTTGGTCCCAGTGGCATGAGCCTCTCCTCGTCACTCATCACCTGTCTGTCAGTTCACCCCTTCAAGAATGCCAGCAGCTCCAAGAAAGCCTGGACCTTCAGGCTCCCACTGATGGCACGTCAGAGGGCAGACTGGCTCAATAAGCGTTTGCGGATTGAATGACTGAATGCACTGAATGACTGAATGCACTGATTGGCCTCTGAGAAAAGAAATGGTGTGAATGGCCTGACCCTTTCAGGATACACTCAACCAGCTTTACTTTCCACCACCTACTCTTGGTCTACTTCAATGTCAAAGGCATGCCCACAGAGATCCACTTTTCTTGGTTGGCTGTTTTCTGCATGATTCAAAAAGTCAACACAATATAAAAAGGTACAACCAGAGAAGTCATTCCTATACCTGCTCAAAATCACTCCATCTCCCTCTGCCCGCAACGGATAATGCATTTTTATTAGTTTCTTGTTTACCCTTCAAGTGTTTCTTTATGCAAATATAAGCAAATTCGCCTGCATATTTTCATATCCCTACCTTTCTTGGGTAACATACTCTACACACTATTCTCCACCTTGCTTCTTTCACTTGGCAGTGTACTTGGAAATCTTTCCTTGTCGGAGCCCAGATCTTTGTCATCGCTGACGTCACAGCATTCCACTGGACACACCATCCTTCAGCTACTCCCTTATTGACAGATGGACACTTGGTGGCTTCCAGTGTTCTGGTGTTACACACAAAGCTTCAGTAATAACCTTGTACAGATGTCACCGCATTATATGTGCAGGCATATGTATAGAAAGATTCCCCCTGAGCAGGACTGTTGCACCTGTAATGTTGGTTCATTCTCCCAGATCCCTCTCCTGTAAAGTTGGTAAAAATTACTGTTAGGTGCTCTAAAGAGGTAGTGATAGCTTCAACGTATGTGTCTGATGTAGGTCACTAAAATGTTTTCCATTCTTGTCAAGAAGAGTGCCAACCTAATTCTTCACTTTCATAAAACACAGACTCTTTTAAAATTTAAATCAGTGTAACATCCCAAAGGTAGTCCGAGTTCAGTTTCCCTAATCTACTTCCATCCGTCAATGCTCAAGGTGAACAGATTTTTTTTCTAGTGACCTGTTACAGGAAAACAGGCCCTCAGAAAAGCCTGACAGCCTAGTCGATATGGGTGGAATTACATTTTTACAAGAGTATTCATGGTCCAGCCAATGTGGCTCAGTCATTGAGCATCAACCCACACACCAAGAGGTCGCTGGTTCAATTCCCAATCAGGACATATGCCCAGGTTATGGGCCAGATACCCAGTGGGGAGCATGCAGGAGGCAGCCAATCAACGTTCTCTCTCATTGATGTTTCTATCTCTCTCCCTCTCACTTCCTCTCTCTCTAAAATCAATAAAGAAAAAAAAAAAAAACAGTAGTCAGGGATACTAAATCAATAAAATGGCATGGAAAGAAATAGACAAATAAATATTTTAAAATCTTATTCATTCCAATAACTAGTTTATATTCTCAGAGCTTTTTGTAATTCATGATTTTTTTTTCCACAGTAAAAATCCGAAATTACAAAATGATGTCTATTTGCAGAATTAATAAAAAGGTTCTTTTCCCACCACTTCTAGAGAAGGCATGAAGAAAAAAAAACGTATTTTCACATGTGAATCTTGGTTTTCAGAAAATTGAGCCTCTGGCTTAGATATTATAGTCAAGGAACACAAAAGCAATGATCAGCCTTTGTACCAGCACAGATTTACTAAATATAAGTCACACTAGACTAAATTCATTTCTTTGATATAGTTTTATAGAACACCTTCAGTTTATTTAAAAACCCTTTGACATGGACAATATGATATTCTCCATGTAACAGTGAATGCAAACTTCAACTCTAGGAACAGTTAGTTACCCTAGTCAAAAACATACTCCCTCCACCAAGACATGCACAAGAATGCTTTTAGCTGCTTTATTCGTAATAGTCCCAAACTGGAAACAATCAAATGTCCATCGCATATAGGATGGGTATCTAAATTTCATGTAATGAAATACTACAGAGTGATGGGAACAAATGAACCATTTACACATGCAACAACATGAGAGAATATCAAAAAAATCTAAGTATGATTCCATTTAATGGAATTCAAACAAGGCAAACCTAATCTTTGGTAATTGATGAGGCCAGAATAGAAATTACCTTTGGTAGAGGGTGTTTTGACCAGGAAGGAGTAGCAGGGAAACTTCTAGGGCACTGGAAATGTTGTACATCTTGATCTAGGTGGTCATTCCATGAATTAAAAAATGTTGAGGTGTGTGAACTTTACTCTATGTAAGTTATAGCTCAATGTCCTGAGCTGGTCAGCTAGCAGCCTCACCAAGAAGCCCTTACACCAGAAGTAGGAACTAGAAGTACTTTTTCTTTTTAATTTTTTATTTATTGATTTGAGAGAGAGAGAGAGGAAGGGAGAGACAGAAAAAGAAAGATCGATTTGTTGTCCCACTTACTTATGCATTCACTGGTTGACTCTTGTATGTGCCTTGACCAGGGAGATCAAACCCACAACCTTGGTATATCGAGTCAACGCTCTAACCAACTGAGCTACAAGGCCAGGGCTAGAAGTACTTTTGTCCATATTTGAGTAATACCAGATCCTCTGCTAACTAGCAGAATGATCATCAGAAATATTTTTTCCTTGATGAAATGAGGGATTTCATAATTAGCCTGATAAGTGTTAAGAATGAGGTAAAACATTTTAGATACTCCTGTCCTTGAATAGACGGGGTCTAATAACCCATCCAGCAAGGCCCATAGCTGCATCTTAGACTGGATTCTGAAAAATATCCAGCCATCAGTTTGCAGGAGTTCTGGCTGCCTGATCATAAGGTAATGAAGTTCTGCTTTTGGAATATTAGCAAAATTGCCTCAAGGAAAGCATTTATCCCAGGAGTGGTGGTCAGAGCACCCAAGAGGCACAGAGCTTCAGGTGATAGATCAGAACATAGGGCCTGGATTTTGCCTGATTGCTGATACACATTTGTTTATTTGGTCTGAAACTTGCCTTCATCATAACCTGAGAGTGAGGCTGTGGCAGAAGAGCTAACCTTTGGGGGCTACCATTACCGACCAGAAAAACTAAGAGTATGTATGACCTACCCCCGCCCCCAGCTTAGTTTGGTTCCTAACAGGTTTCTAGACTGTTATAGCATGGAAATATGCAGACAAACACATCACAGCTGACAAGTTCCCTTATGATGTCCTTCACACTGAAATGAAAAATGGGACTAGAGGTGAGAAAAGTCGGACAGGTGAATGACACAAAGAAATAAGCCAACCAGGGGGAGCAAGTCTTAGAGTCTTGTATAGAGATAGATAGGATAGGATTATCACATTTGTAGATAACCCAAAATTAAAGCAGATGAAAGTTTCAGATTTCCAAAAGATCTTGACAGGCTAGTTTAGTGAATGGACTCTAACAAGATGAAATGTACAATCAGGTGCACAAAAACTAGCCCAGGACCAAAGAGCCAAGGCTCAATGATAAAATGTGTTATAGCATCCTGGCAGGTTTGGCTCGGTGGTTAGAACGTCGGCCTGCAGACCAGAGTCCTGGGTTCGGTTCCCACTAAGGGCACATACTTTGGTTACAGTTTGTCCCAGGCCCCTGTTGGGGTCGTGTGGGTGGCAGCCACTGGATGTGTCCCTCTCACATTGATGTTTCTCTCTCTCTCTCCCTCTCTCCCTCTCTCCCACTCTATCTGAAGAAAAATGCAAAAACGTCCTCAGGTGAGGATAAAAATAAATAAATAAATAAAAATAAAATGTGTTCTAGTGCTTGCATTTAAAACTTCAAGAGATTTAGATTAGTTCAGATTCAACATGAGCCACTACATTGAAGTGGTCACTAAAAATGTAATGTATATATTATACTTCAATTAGAAGTTTACTTAGCTCTGGCCTGTTTGGCTTCATGGTCAGCACACTGGCCCACGGACCAAAAGGTCATGGGTTCTATTCCCAGGCAAGGGCATGTACCTGGGTTGCAGGTTCAATCCTCAGCCCTGGTTGGGGTGCGTGTCTCTCTCACATCAATGTTTCTCTCTCTCTCTCTCTTCTCCCCCTCCATTCTATCTAAAATCAATGGAAAATATTCTCAGTTGAGGATTAACAAAACAAAACAAAAATTTTTAAGTTTACTTTAAAAAGATATAATGCAAACAGATAAGCGTGCACCCATGTTCACATCAGCATTATTCACAATAGCCAAACATGGAAGCCACCAAAAGAAGGGGAAGTCCACTGATAGATGAATGATAAACAAAATGTGGTATGCCATACAAGGGAATATTAGTTAGTGTTTAAAAAGGAAATTCTGGCACATGCTACAATATAGATGAATTTCAAAGATATCATGCTAAGTGAAATAAGCCAAACAGACACATACCGTGTGATTCCACTTACATGAAGTACCTAGAGTTAGTAAAATTCATAGGCAGAAAATAGAATGGTGGTTACCAGGGGCTGGTTACCATGGGCAGTTAATGGGCACAGAGTTTTAGCTGGGGAACATGAAAAAGTTCTGGAGATATATATGTGCCTGATGTCATTGAACTGTATACCTAAAGGTGGTTAAAATGGAAAATTTTGGTATGTACACTTAATAATTATTTTAACTATCAAAAAACAAATGTAATGCAGTCTTCTGCTCTATTAATCTAAAAAAAGCATTGTTCTGCTCCATGTTCTACTCTCAGAACATGCCTGAAAACAAAGTATGGTTTCTATACTCTGTGAGAGATCAGCAAACAGTCTACCCAATCCACCTGCTCCACCAGACCCTGGTTCCTCCTTCCCTATGTCACCAACTTCTTACTGGGACCTGCACGGCTCATCCCAACCCTCTTTCCTCGAAGAGGGGACTACTGGCCATATGGGAGAAAAATGAGGCTCTCAAAACAAACACTGCCTCAAGTCCCCAGCATCTTTGGCCTGGTTCCCAGGACCAAGGGGCAGAAGGTCTGTCAGCCAGAGGATTTGGCTTCTAGACACTCAGGGTGTGAACACCCCATCAGAAAAGCCCAGAATTCTTCTAGGTAATAAATCTTCCAGGAGTCTTTAGCTCTCCATCCCACATCCTCTCTGCCACACTGACAACACACACGCATGCACACGCAAACATACACACACACACACACACACACACACACACACACACACTAGAGTCTTTGCCTAGCGCCCCTGCCAAATGCAAACAAATGACTGGTATATTCATTCATTCAACAAATATTCAGAGTTTGAGAAAACTTTTTTTTTAATAATATGTTTTTACTGATTTTTTTTTAGAGCGAGAGAGGAAGAGAGAGAAACAAACATCAATGTGAGAAACATTGATCAGCTGTTTCCTGCACGCCCCCTACTGGGGATCAAGCCTGCAGCCTAGGTATGTGCCCTGACCAGGAATCAAACCGGGACCTCTCAGCCCACCGGATGACACTCAATCTACTGAGCCACACCAGCCAGGCAAGTTTAAGGGAAATTTTAAAGATGGATTTTTTTAAGGATTTATCTGTTCAAGGAGTTCATATCATATGAATGACACTTTTTATGGAGTACTATTATCAGAATTTACCTCATTTCTCCCACCCTTCTAATAAATGAGTCTATGAAGCTAAGACAGAGGGTTGGAGATCACAAGACACCCGTGACACTGGGGAATGCGTGTCCCAAGAGGAAGGTAACTGGAAAGGGGAAGAGTTATTCTACGCCCCTGACCTCCTTTTCTCTGTGGCTGCACTTCCCTGCGACTCCTCTCCCTCCTCATCCTCCCCAGGGCAGGAGGGGGGGCTTATCCGGCTGGCAGAGGAGAACCAGGAGGGGCGGAAGCTCAGCCCCTTCCCCCTCCCTTCACTCGGGAGTCCTCTGGAAACCCACCTATTGCTCCTTTCCTCTACCCCACCCGACAGGAAAAGAGGCCCATGGTGGACCAGCACCACCTAACTTTGTGGTTCAGAATC